GCTAATTAATTTTGTTCAGACACATCTCTTAGCCAACAGTTCGAGGGAAAAAAATGAGAGAGGATACAACAAATGTATTTAGTTCAAATTTATTCTTGATGCATTACTCAGCAGAACTTCTGCACCAATATCAGGAAGAAAACAAAGCCAAATAGCTGTAATATTCAATGAGGCAGCACCATCCCACACCCAAGTCATTTTCTCAGATGTAGGAATAGAGTGGGGGAAGGGTTTCTTGCTCACAAGCAGGGAGGACCTAAGTAAAAGTCAATTAATTGGCCTGTGACCACATTTTTCAGTTGCACCCTCCACGAGAAGCTAGGCTAGGTACCCGAAGGCAACCTTGTGGTGACAGACCTCAGGCCAGTTCTCCAGGCAGGCTTTGATGCCTTCCCTGGTTGTCTGGTCACAGCTGTGGCTACAGGGTGCCCTGTGGAGTGAAGTCCCTTCTATGGTGGTTTCCTGATTGCTGTGACCAGTTTTATTTCAAGAGTTTAAAAGTTGCAGAGAAATAGTTCCTCAAGAACCCATGATCACTTCCCTCTCAAAGGACAAGGGCAGTAGATACAAGGGACCCTTGCCACCTGCAAGTTTCCCTCCAAGTCATTCACCATCCTGACTTGCAAATATATTGCCATTCCCTCAGTATTGTTAGGTCAAAATCCTGGAATTCCTTCCCCAACAGCACTGCAGGTCTATCTTCAGCACATGGACTGCAGCAGTTCAAAAAGGCAGCTTACCGCTACCTTCTCAAGAACAACTAAGGATGGCCAATAAATACTAGCAAATGAAGTGAAAATATCCACCTACATTCCCTGAGTAAATAAAAGGATAACACCCACTTTTTTCTCCCTCTCTCTTACCTGAAATGGCAGGCTGGAGCTCTTCCCAAACTGCAGGACCTCCTGCTGGCTCTTGAGTCTCAGAGCCTGTCCACTGACCTTAAGTCAACAGCTAGCCTGCAACCTGGCCATTAGTTGGCCAATTCAGGGAAAATCACTGCTGGGAGGTGACTGTTATTCAGACACTGCAGGGTCCTTACCTCCATTTGATTCCTACATTGAGCCCTGACCCAAAACCCAAAATTCTATCACATATCTCAAGCTGAAGTTTGAAAACTGAATCATCTTTGATTAAATAACAATGGTTTGAAACAGTGTTAGGTGGTTTAAGCCAAGACAGCAGCATTTAAAACTTAAAACACCAAATGCAAATCATACTTGAAAAAAACCTGTTAAATATGTTTCTATGGTACAATGGGACAGTTATTACATACAGTTAGTGTCAATTCACACCTTCACATCAAGCAAAGCTGAGCACTGTAATTCATTTGTCAAGTCTCTTGAAGCAGTCATGCTGCCTTACAATGGCCTTGTTCCTATTCAAATTCCGGAAGGTTAATTTTAGGAGCTGCTTCCTTCACAATTATTTAAATTTTCCTTACCTATCTTAAGCCTAATAAATTGATCTGCTGCTGTTAAGTCTTGTTGTGGCAAAGAAATCAGATAAATATAAATACGAATCAAAGGGGAATAAAAAGCAGCAACAGTAAGATGTGAAATAATTGACAAGAGATGAGGTAATATAAAATTCTCACAGCTATGTAACCACAGTTAGCGTGAATCTACATTTAAAATGTTCCCTGATAGTCCATTCTTATACTTCATTTCTAATATTAGTAGGAAGATGATTGTGGTGTAAACTCTTTCCAAATATTAAAATGTAATGGGCATTCAGGTATCCTGATGCATGCATAAGCTCCGATATCACTGAGCAGTAAGTGATGCACTGCACCCAGTAAACCTATCTGATGAACAAAGGAGGCAGGAGGACGATTGCTCTTCAAGCTTGCTCTGACATTCAATGAGATTATGGCTGATCTGGTTGCAGTCTCAGCTCCACTTTCCTGTTTGTGCCCCCACTCCTCCCACTTCCATCACCCACCTAGAGGTCTTGACTCCCTTGCCTATTAAAAAAAAATCTATTTGACTTACCTCTGAATAAATTCAATCTCACATATCTCCCTAACCTTCTGGAAAAGTGGATTCCAGAGATTAACAACCCTCAGGGAAAACAATCTTTCCTTGTCTTGGTCTTAAAAGGGAAGTCTCTTAACTCTTAAACTGTGTCCCCGAGTTCTACGTTCCCCAAGAAGAAGGAACATCATCCGAGTATCCAACTTGTCAAATCCATTAGGATCTTAAATGTTTCAATTAGGTAGTCTCTCATTCTTCAGAACTTAATTGTTACATCCTGTCCATCCTTCCCTTAGAAGATGTCCCGCTCATTCCGAGTAATGAGTCAAGTAAACCTTCTCTATGCTGTTTCTAATGTAATTATAGTTTTCCTCAAATAAGGAAATCAAAATTGTACAGGGTACTCTAGATACTTTCTCACCATTGCCTTGTGCAGCTTTTGTTTTTTTCATTCATGGGATGTGGACATCGCTTTCTAGGTCAATATTTATTTCCCATTCCAAGTTGCCCTGAGAAGATGGCTGTGAGCTATTATCTTAAATGGCTGCAGTCCCTATTCTGTAGGTAGACTCAGACTGCTGTTAAGGAAGGAGTTCCAGGATTTTGACTCAGCGACACTGAAGGAACAGTGATATATTTCCAAGTCAGGATGGTGAATGGCCTGGAGGGAAACTTGCAGGAGGTGGTGCTTCCATATATCTGCTGCCTTGTCTATCTAAATGGAAGTGGATTTCATTTGGAAAGTGCTGTCTGAGGATCCTTAGAGAATTTCTGCAGAGTATTCTGCAGATGGTACACACTGCTTCTATCGATCTTTCACAGTGGAGGAAGTAGATGTTTGTGATTGTTGTGCCAAACATGCAGGCTGCTTTTTCCTGGCTTCTGTCAAGCTTCTTGAGTCCAGGCAAGCAGGGAGTATTCTATCACACGCCTTGTGGTCAGGCTTTGGGGAGTCAGGATGTGAGTTACTTGCTGCAGGATATGAGCATCTGATATGCTCTTGTAGCCATCGTATTTATATGGCTAGTCCACTTCAGTTTCTGGTTAATGGTAATCCATAGAATGTTGATATTGGGGGATTCCGTGATGGTTACACCATTGAATGTCAAGAGATGATGGTTAGAATCTCTCTTGTTGAAGATGGTCATTGTCTGGCATTTGTGTGGCACAAATGTTACTTGCTACTTTTCAGCCCAAGCCTGATATTGTTGAGGTCTTGCTGCATTTGGTCCTGGGTTGTTTCAGTATCTGAGGTGTCACGAATGGTGCTGAATTTTGTGCAAATATCCCCGAACATCCTATTTCTGACATTATGATGGAGGGAGGGTCATTGATAAAGCAGCTGAAGATGATTGAGCCTGTGACATTACCCTGAGGAACATCTACACAGGTGTCCTGGTATGACTGACTTCCAATAACTACAACCATCTTCTTTTGTGCCAGGTATGTCTTCAACCAGAGGGGAGTTTACCTGCTGATTCCCATTGACTCTAGGCTTGCTAGGAATCCTCGATGCCACACTCAATCAATTGCAACTTTGATGGGAAGGGCAGTCACTCTCACCTCATCCCTGAAGTAAAACTCACCTATTTTTACATTCCATCCCTTTGCAATAAACAACATTTCATTTACTGTCCCAACAACTCACTACACCTGTCTTCTAACTCTGTCATTCGTGAACCAATACCAGCATCCCCTGTACCTCATGATCCTATAATCTCTCCTCATTTAAAATAATATATACTTTTTTTAATATTTCCGGGCCAAAGTGGACAAATTTACATTCTTTCACATTATACTTCATCTGCCAATTTTTTACATTAACTCAAAATATACACAACCTTTGCAGACTTTCTTGCTCCTCTTGATAACTTACCTTCCTACCTATCTTGTCATCAGCAAATTTATTTACCATACATTCAGGCTTGCATCAATGTCTTTGAAATAGATTGTAAACAATTTAGGCACAACATTCGTTCCTGTGGCAGTCCACTAGTTACTGCCTACCAACCTAACTATTAATTTATGTGTACTCTCTGCTTCCTGTTGCTGGCTAATCCTTTCCCCATGCTAATACTTAACCCCCTCCACCATGTGTTCTTGCATGGCAAGCTTTGATATGGCACCTTGTAAGATGTCTTTTGGAAATCCAAGTACACCATATCATTTTTTTCTGAAGAAGGGTCTAGACCCGAAACGTCAGCTTTCCTGCTCCTCTGATGCTGCTTGGCCTGCTGTGTTCATCCAGCTCTACACCTTGTTATCTCAGATTCTCCAGCATCGGCAGTTCCTACTATCTCTACACCATGTCTACTCATTCCCCTTTAACCATATTGCATGTAAACTTCACAAAAAAACACGGTGGCTCAGTGCTTAGCACTGCTGCTTCATAGCACCAGGAACCCCAGTTCGATTCCACCCTTGTGAAACTGTCTGTGTGGAGTTTGCACATTCTCTCTGTCTGCGTGGGTTTCCTCTAGGTGCTCTGGTTTTCTCCCACAGTCCAAAGATGTGCAGATTAGGTGGACTGGCCGTGCTAAATTGCCCATAGTGGTCACAAATGTGCAGGCTAGCTGGATTAGCCACGGAAATACAAGGCTACAGGGATAGGGTAGGGGGTTGGATCTGGGTGGGATGCTCTTTGGAGGGCCAGTGTAAACTCGAGCTGAATAGCCAGCTTCCACATGGTAGGCATTCTATGAAATTAGTTGATAATGATTTCCCTGTTACAAAGCCATGTTGACTCTATCTGACTATATTATGTTTTTCTAGGCATCCTGCTTTAACCTCCTTCATAATGGTTTCCATTAATTTCTCTGTCAGACATTTAGCTAACTGGCTACAGCTTCCTGTTTTATGTATGTTCCCTTCCTTGAATATAAGTGTTGCATTGACTATTTTCCAATCCACTGGGACTCTTCCAGGATCTAAGAAATTTTATAAGAAAACTTGAATAACTAAAAATGAACAGGCATATGTAGGGAAACAGACTTGATGTACTTTAATACAGTCAGCAATACTTACTTTTACATCTGATGTGTCTCTTTGACAGTTCCTCCACGATTTGGTGATGGAGGAGAATGTTCGCTCTGGATAATCAAATTTTCCTTCATTTGCATTCAGGAAAAATGTGGTAAATGGCTCCTATGAAAAAAACCCAAAAAGTTGCATTTAATTGACAGAATGAGTGGAAATAACCATTACGTAATAGCAAAATGAAGTCTGATCGAAAAACATTGAGGTCAGAAGTAAGAGTGCATCAAAACTAAAGAATAAAACATAAACTACTAAAATATCCAATGGATTCGAAGAGACCATCTGTATAAAAGATGTCTAATCCCTAAATATAATTAAATAAGACAGCAGCAGGTAAAATGTTCAAAATGCATAAAAAGGTTCCAATTATAGCTTCAGTGATATAGTAAAGACAAGAATAATTTCTTTAAGAGCAAAATATATTGTATTCACTGTTCCTAATGTGGTCTCTCCTGTATTGAGAGATCAAATGCAGATTAGGTGACCGCCTTGTGAACCATCTGTTTTTGGTACACAGGTGTGACATCTTAAGGTTGCCTATCATTTTAACTCTCCATCCCACTCCCTGTCAGACTTTGGCCTCATATAATGTTTCAATGAAACTCAATTTAAACTTGAGGAATGGCAACTTGTCTTACATCTAGGCATCAATAGTTTTCCAAACTGAAAAATGAGTTCATAAGTTTTGGATCAGAACTATAATTTACATTTTGTTTTTGGACAGTGGCTGTATATGATGATTCTGCTTTTTTCACTTATTCATCCCCTAGCTACATTTTTGTTTCTTTAGTTGTCCATTGCCATTAGCTCATGCCTTGGACCATGTGCCCTTTTGCCATTCAACCTCCCTTGCTTTTCGCCCTTTCACACATCTTCACTTATCCTTTCTCCCATCCCACCTCTCTCTCCCTACACATCCTGCTTTTCAAGTGCTCACATTGCTGACAAGAAGTCACTGATTTGAAATATTCACTATGTTTCTCTCTTCAGATGCTGCAAGATCTGCTAAGGATTTCCAGTATTACCTTTTTATTTAAATCTTGTAATAAGTCCTTTCAATTTATTTTCAAATAATCTAGAGATTGAACCTTTTTGTTTTATTTTATTATTCTATGTACTTTTGTTTCAATCAGCAAAGTTAGCAACACTTTTCAACCAAGTCAATCATATAGATAATTGGCTAATTAGAGTCATAGAGTCATACTGCACAGAAACAAACCCTTTGGTCCAAATCATTTGCACTGACCAGACATCCCAATCTGACCTAGTTCCATTTGCCAGCATTTGGCCCATATCCCTCTAAACCCTTCCAATCAACAGATGCCTTTTAAATGTTGTGATTTTACCTGCCTCATTGCATACATGCACTAACCTCTGCCTTAAAAAGTTACCCCTCACATCCTTTTTAAATCTTTCTCTTCTCACTTTAAACCTTTAGTTTTGAATTATCCCACTCTAGAAAAAAGACCTTGGATATTCACTCTATCATGCCCTTCATGATTTAATAAACCACCATAAGATCACACCCACCCCCACCTCCACTCGCCCCCCCACACCCCCAAAAGTCTCCGACGCTCTGGGGAAAAAAGCCCCGGCTTATTGAGACTCTTCCTACAGCTCAAACCCTTCAGTCCCGGCAACATCCTTGTAAATATTTTTTGTACCCTCTCAAGTTTAACAACATCCTTCCTATAGTAGGGAACCAGAACTGCCCAAAAGAAAAAAAAAATTGCAGAACTGCAGCAAGGTGACAGGGAATGGGACTACCTGAGATACACTTGTAGAGAGATGGTGCATACATGAGTGGTGGAATGGAATCCTGTATTGCAGCTATTCCACATTTCCATTGTTTTTTTTTGACGGGCAATGCAATTTGATTGGCAATGGTTACCAAGAGTGTGTGTAAACAGGATGGAGTTGGAGGTGAAGGTGTATCTGTGAAAGGAGAGAGGTAATCCAGGTGCTTTGTCAAAAAAAGTCAAAACTTATATTTCTTTGATTTATTGTGAGGTTAAACATTTTATAAAATTAATCCAGAGTAGCACTCAAGTAAAGAGGAGAGAAGCTGACTTAAAAGGGAAAGAGGCAAGGGTATAAGAAAGTGAAGTGGAGCTGCTGTTAGAAGAAATAGAGAAATAAGACACCGGCTTTGTTCTTGTTTATGCTCACTGAGCTGCCAGAAGGGGCTAATAGGAAACCAGAGCTTGATACATCCATTCCTTCTGCGGAGTGTAATCTCCATCCAACCTTCAAGCAGGTACAGAGTCAAACCAACTCTACTTAACTTGGCACCAGGGTGAACACAGTAAATTAAGCAGATATTTTTTGCCAGCTTAGTTCCAGACACTGAATTCAGTTGGGGGGACAGGGAAGTCTCAGAGAAAGTGGAAGATATATCTACTTTTCCAGAAAGTCTAGCCCATGGGTGGCTACAAATTGATGTGTCAATGGAGACTACCTTATTGGCTACAACCACGAATAGAAAATGCAATGGAACATCAAAAGGCACTGTTAGCTCCCTTAGTAACAAAGCATAGAACCTGGACTTCCAGCCTGGTCTCAGTATTACATAGTTAAATAGCATCATTCCAAAAGTAAAACATCATTTGATTACTGCTTTGGAATATCTGGCAGCCCTCTATTGAGTGTGATGAAGTAGATGCCAGGGGGCCTGATCTATTGAAGGGTCACGTTTCGTTCTTTAGGCTTTGGGAGACACACTGGAGGGCAGAATAAGATGTAGCTGTCTATATTCTTGCTGAAGGATTGTGGAATCTCATGGCAACATTTTTTTTCATTCATCAGGATGTTGCTAGCTAGGCATAACACACTATAAGTGGAAAAATAGGATATCAGTTCTGGAGTGCAGGCAAAAACATCCCTTTTTCAGGTGCAGTTAGCATCAAAATTGATAAATCATAGAAGGTGACCAACTTTTGACTCAAAAAAAACCTGAATATTTTTAAAAGGCAAAGAAGTAGATGGCAAGGAAGTAGAAACTGTGGTGAAATGGAAGGAATTTAATTTTCAGATACACAAATTTTAAAATACACAGGGAAAAAAGTAACCAAAGGTTTAGTAGAACATTGGCCTCTATAGCCAAAGAAATTGGAACATGAAGGGAAGGAAACCATGTCACAATTGTACAGAACCTTAGTCAGATCCAGTTGGAGCACTGTATACCCAAACCATCATCTCTTTCAAGGTCTGTCATTGTTCACACACCAATCTTTGATTCTAATCCAACTAGGTCAGATCCCTTTCCTCTCACTGTTGCTCGTCCCGCTCCAGTTAAGTATTTTCAAACTCGATAATTGTTTGTCCTTTTCAATTGCTATCATAAGCCTGATGATGTTACAATTTTTGGTCCCCAACGCTTTGTGACTGAAACACACTCCACTTGCCCCACTTCACTTTCCAGAACTAGATCCTGCACTGCTTTCCTTCTCATAAGATTGGAAATATATGATTCAGAAAATTCTCTTGCATATGGCTCAGGAATTCCTCCTCTTTATCCTGTTAGTAAGTCTGCTTCTCTGAAAAGTTCAGATCTTCTTTGACTTCTGCCTACATAAATTTCTTGTTTTTAAACGTAATTTCCTGTTGAACTTTTCTCGCCATATTTTTGTCTTAACTTTTTCCACTGTGAACTTTTATATCAAGATTTTCCATTTTCCAAAGCAAATATTTATTAAATCTAACAAATTATATAAAATCCATCTGCAAAGAAATTTTATCTGTCTTTTTCTTTCCCATCACATAACTGAAACTTATAAGGGATTTGAAAAAAATCAAGAATGACATGTTTAATAATAACATGATTTGTGTTCCTTACCTCTTGAGGCCTTCATTAAGATTTTACATCAATGACTTAGCCTATCTCAAAAGCTGGAGCTTTGAATATTTATTTACCAACAGTTGTGACATTCCACTCCGCATTCTGAGCATGCGTAATTTGAAGAGTTGCCTAGTTTGCAAACTGGAGTTAAAGGATAGAAAGGCACACCCTCTCATATTTTGACAACGTGGAAGCATCTTGCTTTTCCAAAAAGACTTTGATAGAAACTAAAGCTTGAACTCTCAAAGCTTTTATTCCAGACGAGTGATTAATTTATATAAAAATATTGCTATTTGCATGCTTCTGTTATTATTTCTACAAAAAATTTAAATTTTAGCCACATCAGCTGTTACTATGGTTTCTTTGTTGATGGCTAGAAAACAAAAGAGACTTTATTGCGTCAATGTTAGAAATGTGGGTCCTTTTAAGGGTAAACCTGAACAGTTTCTGAGTTGACTGAGAGCACGTGATGCTCATTAACACTCATACATGTCTGAATGGGTTGATTTAAAAAGGATATTAAGACCTGGTTTCTGGTTAAAATGCCCAGAGGGGCAGTGTGTGTTATATAACTAATTAGGGGTATTTGATAACTTGTTGGTGGCTCTCTTTAAAACAAGCAGAATTCTGAGGACTCTTGTGATGTAGTGGTAGTGTCCCAATTGCTTAGCCAGGAGGCTAGGGTTCAAGTCTCATCTGCCCCAGAGGTGTGTTGTAACTTGTATGAACAGGTTGTTTAGAGCTAAATTAAAACTGGAGTTTCAGCGTCACAATCGTTGGACCAGGTGGCTCGGGTTCAAGTTCCACTTGCTCCAGAGGTGTGTAATGACATCTCTGAACAGGTTGCTTAGAAAACAATCAAAAAAAGTTGGTTTCTGCGTACACTGCCCTGATGATGTTCTGATTGGCAGTGTGTGTAACTTGATTTATTGGTAGTATCCAATTAATTGTTGATGGCTATTCAAAAAGAAAGAGCAGTATTCTGAGAGAGCTTATAATGCAGTTGTAATGTCCATATCTCTGAGTCAGAGGGCTGGGGCTCAGGTTCTACCTACGCCAGACATGTGTTATAGTGTATCTGAAGTAGATTAAAACAAACAGTTGGTTTATAGGTCTTGTGAAGCAATGGTAGGGTCCCTGTCTCTGGTTCAACTCCTGCCTGCTCCAGAGGGATGTCATAATATGTTTGAACAAAATACAAAGAGCTGGGTTCTTATGGAGGACTCTCTTGATGGGGGTTCTCCTGCATTCCACTGGGGACCTTACAAGG